ATTTTGATTCTTTTTATTTCAAATACATATTCATTTTATATTGAAACAGATAGTGATTACAATATTTTGCCTGATATTATGACATTCTTTATTTTTGGTGGTACCAGGGATTGAACTCAGGACCTTGCACTTGCCAGGCAAGCACTTATTCTACTGAGCTATCTCCCCAGACCCTGACATGAGCATTCTAATCAGACATGTCACACATGACCCAAGGTAACATAGTAATGCAGCTTCTTAAACTGCAAAGGGACATAGTAAGAAATAAACTGCCAAGCTAATGCACCCTAAACCTTTCTGGATGAAGAAAAAGCATTTACTCATTTTAAAACTGTATAATTATAAGTGTAGTGGATAGCTAACAGGCGGTCAACTTCTTACACCCAGCTGAACTGAACTAGCATGGTGCTGGGTATGGAAGGCCCATCTCAGGATTGTTGCCAGCAGCATAAAAGGCAGAATGAATGCAAGAAGCTACTGAGAAGCTGTTGGGGATGCTGTTTAGAAAAGCTGTTAGAACCGTTGGAAGCCGTTGGTTTTCCCCTGGCTCTTCTTGTGATAACTTTCCCAATGAAATTGGCTGTTCTTGTTGCAGGAGAGTGGAACCTCATTGTCACTGGGAATGGCGATAGTTCCTTTTGGGGTGCTCTGGTCCTCATCTTGAGCACCACTTTCTGGCTCCAGAGGGGAATACAGTGCACTGCTCAGCCTTGTGGAGAAGCTTGGCACACTGACTTTCCTGATGGGAATTCAACTTTCCTCATTGCTGCAGGAGCTCGGGACATCACTAATGCTGAGGATGGCTGTGGTACCTTTGGGAGAGCTCTGGTGCTTACACTGAATGTTGCTTCTTAGCTCCAGTTCAGATCCCAAAGCCTGTTATTACAGATCCTTCATCCCACTGGCATAGACTTTTTTAGCTTCCACTACTGACTTTTGGGCCTTTCCAGCACAGATCCATGAAGGAGGACTGCATGACACATTGTCACGTGCTCTAGGCCTCCAGTAGAACTTGTGGGAGTCACCATTGTGAGCTCTAGGTTTTCAGCTGGACTCATGTAGGATACTAGGATACAGGCCCTCAGCTAGATTCTCTAGTCTTTAGTGTATGGGCAGATTTCCTGCACTCCTTGTATATGATTCTTTGGGTGATTCATTATAAAATAATATTGTAAAATGCGTACTGTATGCATTGTTTGCAAAACCCCAAACCATGACAATAAGTTAATTAATGGTCATAGATATTAAATAGATGATACCTTAATTAATATTTGAAAATAAAAGGGACTAAAATATTGAAGTATTTATTTTGTTTAATGTATTGCTATTAGAAATTATAACTAATGAAACATTTCAAACCAATTATTTTTCTGTTTTCTCTCTAGGATTTGATTTTATAATAATAACTTAAAAGCCAACAATAATTACTATAATTATCTTTTATAAAGTATAATTTTTTTCTGATGGGGTAGAGGAAATTGTACTGTTAAGAGACACCTGCAAGACTACTATTGTTGAAGATAAAGGCATACTAACTGAAACCAAGAAAATAACTTTACTTGGAAGATAACAATATTGTTTCTTGAATATAAAGGAGATTAAAGGTATCTATTAAGAAGAGGATACGCAGGGGCTGAGGGTTCCATCCCTGACTGGCCAGGCCGGCCCCACCTCTGGGCTGTGCTGAGACAGAGATGGAGACTGGGCCTATAATCCCAGCTCTTGGGAGGCTGAAAACAGGCAGATCACTCTGAATATGATCTGTGTAGTGAGGTACTCTAGAACTGTACTAAATACATACAAAAAGAAGAAAATACACTATAAACTGTGTACAGTTTATCTTGTAACCGAACATATTAAAATGTGTATATAATTACTCTCCTATAGTTTTGTTTTGAAATTTTATACCATTAAATTCATTACTTATTTTTCTTCTCTTTAAAATGAGGATACATATTGTTGATTCTACCTAGAGTGACCAGCAAAGAAATATTTAAATCTATGAATAACAAAAACTCCATTTAATATTGGTCCTTATTTTCTAACATGACAATAATTTTCAAGATCCTTAAAAGAGACACAAAGTTTGTTACATGGAGATGAAATTAAAGAAAATGGGAGAAACGTCCAGCCCCTGACCCATCTCTGTGAGTTCTGCTTCCCGAAGTCAGTTGCTCACCTGTGCTCAAACTCTGGGTGGGTTCATGCCCTTGCCCAGAAAAATGACACGTAAGAATTCGTCACTTGAGGAAGGCTGGTTGAGTGAACAGTCAGAAGCCAGGGTACCGAGTTTTGTGTCATTAAGGCTCTCGAAGGGGCTTTCATGCTCTTGTTGTGCTCTAGGGCTCAGCCGTAAGAACCGCCTTTGGCAGAAGCAGCTGAGCGTCTTGGGTGATGGATACAAACTTGGCCCAGTTGGACGCATCTTTGAAGGTTTACACTCTACAAATCCTCATGATACAGAGACCTTTGGAAGTTCAGGTTCCTGTTCCCCCTGGGGATTAGCAGGTCAGTCCTGCACCTGGCGGAGAGAGGAGAAAGCAGCTCTTCACTTAGGCGTGCTCAGATATCCTCAGATAATCTATCCAACTCCTGCCTACCACCCTAAATTGGCTTGTGAGATCAGAGGAAGGCCCTGCAGAAGCATGTGGCAGGTTCTGCCTGTCCCTTCAGCCTCTCCTGTCTGCCTCTACATGGCACATGGGTTCACTCTGGGCCATGCCTTTGAGCTGATTTGGCTAGTTGCCTAGCTGGACCACTAAGCATCTAAGACAACGGTTCCTAAAAGGTATCGTTTTTGGTTTCAGGATCAATCCCTCGCAGAAATAGGAGGGGAAGGATCACATCGCAAAGAGCAAAAATCCAGGACTCAGCCACAATGCCACTGTTTTGTGTCCACCGCCATGACCCACCCTCTTAGTGCTAATGCTCCCCTCCTTCCCGCCAACTTACTGGACACAGCCCTTTCCTTGTGTGCTGAAGGTGGGATGCTGTAGGAACCTGCTGATTCTGGTTGGGAATTTCTACCTGGTGCAGTATGCAGAGAAGGTAGAGAGCCAGGATGAGGAGAAGGGAGAGGGGAGACAGACAGAGACCAACTTTCAGGACCCTGATTTTCTTTTAGAAAGACTCCATTGTCCTGATGTCTGAGAGAGAGAGAAGAGGCCTCGGATTCAGGCTCCAGAGCAGTAGTGAAAGAGTGTGATACCCAGCAGTCAGGAGAACACAGGAGGCCTTCTCCTCTCTGAGCAGCAGCCCCCCAAAGGGAGGCCTGGGAAGGAGCAGCAGGGTGACATGGATTTTAAACTTCACAATTGAAAAGAAAAGAGGATAAATGAAAAATGTGTTAGGTGCATAATTTCCATTGTAGTTGGAGGAATCTGAGCAGGGAATGCCAACATATACCATATTAGTGTATAAGTTAGAGTCAACATCTTCAATTGCAAGATCAAGAAATTGAAACTCAGGCTGAGGAATTTCCCCAAAGTCAGACACCTGAAAAGCAGTAGAGCTGTCAGGAACCTGGCTTGCCTTTACTGCCTGCTGCTCTGATAATAACTCACTCAGGCTGAAGGAATGGGGCAACCAGACATGTATTATCAATTGATGTAGATGGAGCAAAATTATTTTACCAAGATTATTTTTGTGGTCAAGAGAAAATTCTGCTGCTTCTCATCTCATTCTGTAAAAAAAAATAAATAGCACAGAACTTATTGTTAATTACATAATAATTATTGCCATCTGGCATTGTTATACTTGAATGAGAAGTTTCCTCTCAGAGATAGAAATGCAGTGGGGCTGGGAATAGTGGAAAAGGTGGAAAGCTGGTGAAGAAATCTGCAACCAGTCCTAAACTCAGATTCCCACCTATGAGTATCTGCCCCACCTCCTTGTGCACACACTAGTGAATTTTGAAGTATGGATAGTGGAAGAGTCTAAGAGCATTTTGGGGATGTTTATGAAAGAAACTTGACCATACCTCTCTTTCCTCCAAGGTGTCTGCATGCACTCACAGAGCTTCATCGATCTCTGCTGACGCCTCATGAGCTGAGCAGCTCATCGCAGTGTGATGTGAAATGAAAATAATCCCAAATCATCATACACAAGCCATACATATAATAAAATTCAAGAGCTCCTTTCCAGATATTCCCCTTGCAGAATTTTTGAGATACAAATGCTATTCTTGATTTCCATAGTGGATGCACCATTCTGTGCTCCTAGGAAAAGTGGAGATGGGTTCCTTTATCACCACAGCCTCTCGAGCATTTGAAATCGGTTGACTTCTTGAGGATAGCAATTCTTTCTGGTATAAGATGGTGGCTCAGCATTGTTTTAATTCGCATCTCTTGAATACCAATGAGTTGCATATTTCTTCATATATTTATTTGCTACTGGTATCTTTTCATTTGTGAGGTATATATTCATCTCAGATGCCCATTTTGGGTTAGGTCTCTGAATTTTGGAGGCCTGATTTTTACTCGATTCTTCATATGTTCTGAATAGGAGTCCTTTCACTGAGGGACAGTCCATTATAATTTTTTCCCAACTCATGGGTTTTGTTTTTAGGCTGTTAGTGATTTTTTTTTTTTTGATGTGAAGAAATTTTTTAAAAAGAAAAGATCCAGTGCTCACTTTGGCAGCACATGCCCTAAAACTGGAACAAAGCAGACAAGAGCATGGCCCTTGCACAAGGATGACATGCAAAATCATGAAGCATTCCATATATTTTTTAAAAGCGAGATCCCAGTTCTTAAGTCTTTGAAGTATTTTCCATGCTGTTTGATTTTTGTTCATGAACTCTCTACCTTCCTTCAAGTCCTCAAGAGTTCTACCTGCTTTCTCCTCCAGAAGATTTAGTGTTTCAGTTTTAATATTTCTATCTTTGATCTATTTTTACTAGAGTTTTAAAAAGCTAGGATTGGAGGTCCCATTCAAGCCAGCTGTCTCTCTCTTCAGAACTTTCCCAAAAGAAATAAAATCACCATAGCACGGTGATATATGTACACTCATGTTTGTGTAAGATCAATTTGTCATAGCTAAATCTTGGAAACAACCCACACATCCATCAACTGAGGAATGGATAAAAATATATGGTATTTTTACACAAAAGAGTATTACTCATCTATAAAAAACATAAATTCAAGGCTTTTCTAGATCATAAAAGCAGCTAGAGACTATATTGGTAAGCTAAATAAATCAGGCCTGCATGTAGAAATATCATATTGTCTCACTATTGTGAGAACCTGAAAGAGGAAATGAAACCTGGAAGGTACAATAGATACAGTGAGTGGGAAAGAATTTATTCAATGAGAAGGAAACACATGGTTAAGGAAAAGGACAAAAGAAAGAAGGAGAAAATATATATTCATGTGGATATGGAGAATATTTTGAGTAATTGTACTGCTGATTTCTGCTGGTCTTTTGAAAGGAGCAGTTAATCCCTAATTATTTTTCCTTTTATTCTTATTTTTCTTTTAATTTCTTATAACTTTGTTGTTGTTGTTGTTTTGTAGAGGTAAACACACAAGGTAAAGAGTGTACCTAGTGGACAGCGACAGAGACAGCCTCTGAATCATGCTTAGAACAATAATGTCAACTATCTCTGTCTTCCCTTTTCCAGAGGGTTGAAAATGAAGGTCAGGTTGTGCACATTGTTTGCAATGGCCAGCGGACAGGGGTGCGCTGGTTTCATGATACTTAAAGCGTGCGAGTGGGTATCCTGGACACCTTCGCGTAACCGTCTAATTCCCATAGACGTGCTCCCCTGCTGGGGCAGTGTGTTTTTTGTTGTCTCCTTATTGCATTTTGTCCCTGAGCAGCTGCAAAACCATCGTGCAGTGGGGATATGGACTTGAGAACGTTCTGTTCTACAAACTTGCTGATTTCTCTTCCTCTTTCTAGTTTGAAAGACAATTAAAACATGCTGCTTGAGAGGGAGCTCAGTAAGTATGCAAGGTTTCTTCCTCGTTGAAGTTACAGTTGATTCCCTGTAAAGAAGCAAGAAAGCATATTCTAAAATTAGCAACAACAAAAAGGGCCCAGATGATGGAAATACCACCTTATAACTTAAAAGAAAAGATGTAAAACAATTTATAAACACAATAAATATAGTAAGTGATAAGAGGAAAATTTGGCCTCTGCATCTTTAAAAATTTGTGAAAATAAAATTTGTAAGTAAAATTGAGTATAATCAATATCATTTGTCAAGCAGTAATTTATAATTTTGAATGATGTCAGTTAATCGTATAAATTTTTTCTAGAAAAATGACATAATCAAGCATCAAATTATTTATGGAAAATAGTGTTTCCTCTCGCCTTAACAGATCAAAATCTTACTTACGTTTTTCTAGGTACAAAATATATTTTCTGTTTGCGCACACTGGCACACCTCTGCCTCCAGCCCCGGCTACTCAGGAGGCTGAGGCAGTAGCATCCCTTGAGCTCCAATTTGGGCCAGTTTAGATCACATAATGAGAATCTGTATCAAAAGTAAAACAATTTAAAGGATACTGTTTCTGTCCTGCTTTAAATAATTACTTTTACCATCTGCCTCGATTTACACAAACAAAAACTAGAGTGAAATACCATGTGCTATTTTCACTGCATTAAATGAGAAAGCAAATTCTATTCTCTATTTTATCCTTTATTTTCCTCAAATCTAGGTTCTGGCCATGTTAAGAACAGATTTTTCTTTTTGCATTTTTCAAATTTTATTGGCACATTTTAGATATACTGTGATAACATTCAAGGAAGTTTGTACCTTGCTTTTTTTTTTTCTCAATTGCTCCTCTCTCTTCAACTCCTGCTCTCCTTATTTACAAAAGGTTTGTTTCTGTTTTTTCCTTCAACTCTCTTTTCTCTTCTTTTGCCCTTCCCTTTCCATTGAACATTTTCTTTCCATTTCCCAGTGTCCACTGTACATCTTCTCTCTCTCTCTCTCTCTCTCTCTCTCTCTCTCTCTCTCTCTCTTTCTGCATTGGGAATTGAACTCAGGAGCTCAAGCTTGCTAGGCAGGTGCCATGCTGCTAAACCACATCCCCAGCTCAGCCTATTGCTTGATTTTTTTTTCCTCTTTTTTAACCTGTTGATGACAGCCATTCTTTCTGAGGTGAGATGAAATCTCAGCATTGTTTTAATTTAATCTGAGACAACCAGTGATGTTGAACATTTTGTCACATATTTATTTTCCATTTCTACTCCTTCATCTGAGAAGTGTCTATTCCAGATGTCCATTTCTGAATTGGGTCTTTTTTAAAATTACCCTTTAAAAGTTTCTGAAAAATTGATCTTGAGCAACTTACATTTTCCTTCCTCCTTTTCCCCCATTACGAAGAGGAAATGAAGTGTCGGCGAGATACTCAGCAGACAGAGCTCCTGCATAGGAAAGCGGAGAGACCAGGGTTTCACCCCAGCACCTCATGCCATGCCTGGGGTGCTGAGCTGGCCCACGAGACTGGGCGTGGTGGCTGGCGCACTCTGGGGAGGCTGAAAACAGGAGGACCGTTATGAGTTTGAGTTGCGTAGTGAGATGCTGTACCAAATACATTACAAATTTTAAAAAAATAAAGAGGAAATGAGATGAGTTTCACCATCTAGCATTAAAAGAGAGAGAA